GGGGGGCGGAGCGCCCCAGGGCCGGGGGGTGGGCGGCCCCGGGGCCGCGGCGGCGGCTCCTGCTGACGCCGGACTCTCCCTCAGCCTCTCGCGGAGCGGGCACGGGGCGCTGGCGTGCAGCGCCGGCCACGGAGCACCCCGGCGTTACCCCGCCCGCCGACGGCGAGCTGCGGACTGGGGCTGCTTCCCCACAGCGAATCGCCAGGAGCGGTTCCTGAGCCCAGGCATGACAACGCGAAGCGTGCTGCTTACTGGTATGACGGATCTTCATTTCACAGTCGGTTTACACTTTCCACGGTACTCAGTAACAGGCAGAAGGCAGACGCACATTCAGCATCATCCAGAATACTGTCAAGACTGTCACTTTACGTGCTTGATAAGAAACTTGAAATAAAAACAAATTTCTCAGTGGAGTTCCTTTAACAACTTCTGTCTGTACAACAGTAATATTCTACATTTATACTGCAACTTCGGTACAAAAAGAGCTCTAAATGTCAATGATGATGGTGATGGGTAGGATAATTGCCCGTTTTACAGGTAGGTAAAAAAGAGATTCAGTTGCTATCCTAAAAGCACACCTCAAGTCTATGGTAGCAAGAAGGGTTTAGGGGAAAAAAAAAAATACCAATAGAGCCATTCTAACTATAAAGATGGAAAAAGATGTATCCATCATATGTGATGCTCTGGGCTGGTTTACTTAAGTTGCTGTATCTAACGTCATATGAGACTAAAATAGTTAACCTTCTGTTTCTCTATTTAGTCCAGCTGACGAGATGCTTAGTTAACTGGGGAGGATGATGTCCATTCTTTGTATCACCCCAGTTGAAAAGAACCTTGCAAATTATCTGAGATACAGTTTCCAGCATTGCTGGTAAAATTAAACTTCCCACCAACAAAGACTTAGGTGTACATGGATGGAAAAGATGGATCTACAGTGTAGATGATAAAGGTCTAGCTGGTGAGACAAAAGCAGTGTATTTTCAATCTGAATTGGTATTTGTAGTCCAGGTTCTCTTCCCGGCTGTATTACGGGTTACCTGTGCAGCGGTAAAGTCATCGTGCCTTGGGAATGGTGCTCCATCACATCCCTGAAGAGTTTCAAGATCTACCCCGCCGAGATTCCCACAGATCATACGTTTTATGAAAACAATTTTCAAAATGTAAAAGAAGCTGTTTAAGAAAGCTAAAAACAGTAAGCAGGACATGGAATACCGGCTGTGGCACACGGCTATCATCCCAATGTAAGAGAGCAAAAAGGAAGTTAACTTGGAAAATACATTTGGTGTCATGGTGCTTTCATCACTACTTCCACTACTTCGTGAGTCGTCCGCACAAGCATACATGCACCCCCTCTCCCCCTGCCTCCCCCCAAAACATGCTCCTTTACTTTACAGGCCTGTCAATAATGAAGGATGTGGGATGAACATGTAGGGGAGAATTAACACAAAATGCTTTACAAGAGAGCAAGAGCTATGTTCCTTAAAAAGCTAGATTGTACATTTAATTTGGAAGATAGAGGCCTTCACACAGGGATTTTTCCTAGCTTCCCTTTAGAGCCTGGCATCAACGTATATTGTCTCTGTTGAAAAACTGTCTCGTAAGACCTGACGTAAAGCTGTGTGGATGAAAAACTGCAAAAAGCATTGCTGCCTTTGTGAGCAGAAAGAATTCAAGTGCCAGTTTCGTTTCATAGGGAGAGGCTTTATGTACAACGCACGTGCCAAATTAGTATCTCTCGCCGTGTCAGATGTTTTGGGTCCAGAAGTTTGTGCAGGCAAAAATGAAAGTTGTTAGCTGTGCTATACTATTAAGCATATACGTCATTCTCAGGTGAAGCTCAGAGTTATTTGTATCCTGCTTTAAAATCAGACTGCTCTCTAACAGAGAGCCAGGATGTGATCTGTCATTCTCACTAAGCTGATTTAATGGGGAGCGGTTACTGAAAGGGGAGCAGGGTGCAGGGTCCTCCCTCGGATCCTCATGCTTCCCTGCAGGAGAACTGGTGGATCTCTAACCCTGTGGTTAAGCCAGTTTGGGGATCCATCTGGTCAGACGCACGCAAAGGATCAAATCCCTCTGAGTTACCTGTTTTCTGTCTGCACAGCTCCTTGAACCAGCTCACCGCAGGGCCTGCTCTGCGCCACTGCCGGTACCAGAGCCACAACAGAGCGACGAAAGCTGCAAGACGTGCAGTGGGAGTGCGCAAGGGAAGGCCTGCCCCGTTTGCAGTAGCTAAACAACAGATGGGCTTAATGCCATCAAAACGCAGCATTCTCAAGCTGCTGTATGTAATACTTACGTAGCACGTCCACAAGAGTGGAACTGTGGCAAGAAATGCTAAACAGGCAAAGCCTGGATTTTAGGATTTAGCACAAATACTTAGGCTGAAGCATCTTCCATGTCCTAAATCAGATTCTGTCAGATCAACACCGGAGATTTTTCAAGACAGCACCACCCAAGACAATATTACAGTGCCGGTGCCTGTATTGTGAGCGCAGTCTGGTCTAATGATCGAGAGGAAGCTCTGAATTTTTAAGAGCATGAAAATAAAACCTTATTGAGCCAGACCACCTTTTGTCTAGTCCTGTAACCTCTCTCCAGCAGCTCAGTTAATGCCTATTAGCAGTAAAAACCACACAATCCACAAACCCTCTGTCAGAGATTATAAGAACTTTGAAAAATAAATCTCAGATGGAAAGAGCTAAGTTTGAATCACAGTTTTGGTGGGCTCTGGTTTCCTCCTGTCTCATCACGAAAATTACCCAAGTTCATATGAAACACCACAGGGGCTGAATAACTCAAATTTTAAGCAGGTTCTATCCAGAAGTGACTACACTGGTGAGTGTAAGAGATGAAGAAAGGGAATAAAGAGAGGCAGGGGAGCTCCCAGTGCCACTGCTTGTGCCGAAGGTGGGTCTGTGAAGAGGAAGGTCTCGCAGCACCTTTGGGCAGTGCCCAAGTGAAACACTAAAGCATCGTTCTCCGAAAATCTAATGGCTCTGCTGACCTCTGTCTAGCTGAAGGATGTATAGTCCTAACTGACTTCTCCAATTTCCACTGAACAGGAAGGGTATTTGTGGTGGGTCTTCCATTGATAAGTGTGGAAATATCAAAGTCTCGTTCTTGAACGAGACACTGCATTTTGTAATTGTGCCTCTGACTGTTCCAGGGATTATAACAAAAACATGGCAGTCATTGCAGGTAAAATTGTTTGCTCGCTGCTCTACTGTTTGGCAGAGGGTTTCTCCTTCAGACCCAGCCATATCAATGACTTCTATGTGCGTGTCTCTCTTCTTGATGTTAAGCAGAGACCTAGGAGGCATGTAGGTGTGAGCAAAGAGGAGAGTATAGTGCCTTGGATGGTTTGAGGGCTCTGGAGAATGCATGAGTTGCTCCAAGTGAAACAAACATGGTATCAGCCCTCCCTGGTGTAAGCACCCGAACAGCAAAGCCCCGAGAACATTGAAAATAATAATGACGTGTTTCCACTTCACAGCTCTATTCTGTGACATGCTGAACAGGACTAATGGCAAGATGAGAGGAATGAGAAACCGAGGTTCTTGGTGACTGAATAGGGAGAGAAATGCCAAAGGAACAAAATAAAACAGCAGTAATGTTGGATTGCCCTCAGAATGCTCTAACAGCCCAGATGACCCACGGTAATGTGATTTGACCCGTATCAACTGATGGATATATTTCTTTAACATTCTAAAACCAGCACCGATGGCCAGAATATGTAACATCCCAAAGAGCATTATTCCGTTGACTGTAAAATGTGTAACTCGTGGGTGACTTCCATGCAGTGCAAGATTATGAGGATTAAGATTATAGCTGAGAAAATTGAAAGGGGTTACTATCATTTTCTCATTTAATTGACCTATTACATCAAATAGGCTGCTCTTTTTAATGCTGTAGAGGCTGTCTAAGCCCATGGAGGTGAAATAGAAGGTGTCAGCTGTTACAAAAACAATGGCAGTAAAACACGCGCATAGGACAAGCTTCAGAAAGTGGTTTATGACAGTTTTAATGCTCTTTTGAGAGTCGACAATTAAACCTGCCCAGTAAAGCAGGGGCATTAGAGCAAATGCCAAAAAGGTTGGCCTGTTGAAAAACCCAGCAGTCGTTATAATACCTATGAGAGGGCTGCTTGTAGGCTCTGCTAAGCTGCCATCAGACTTTCTTGAGGAAACCAATACCATCAGAAGAGCAAAAAGAAGTCCTTCAAGTGTGTTGGTAAACGTTCTTGTATAAAATACCAGGGTGACATACGACCCAGCAAGAAGTACCAGCGCTTTCCACGGATCCGCTTCCCAGAAAGGAGCTAATCGGTAAACACTGTAGTCGAGTATGAAAGAAAACATTGTAAAGAGAAGGCGAGGTGATACGAGAAGGGTGTAGCTGTTGATGCAACTTGAACATATGTCCAGCTGCTGCAAAGACTTGATCACCCAGTAGCTAACTCCAGATGTCATTAATGGGAAAACAACCGTTCTGCAAGGAGAGCTGGAAAGGAACTCCCAAGGATAATAGACCTGGAGGTTTAAAATATCTCCTATAAAGGAAGGAAAAAAGAAAAAAATGCATACATACATAATAGATTTTATTCAGTACTTCAGCATTAGGGATACAACTTAGTGCGAGGCATCACGATGCAGAGCAGTCCCTGAACTTCTGAGACTACTGTCAACACCGAGGTTTTTAGGAGTACGCCGTTAATCTTTACAAAGCTCCAAGGAAAAAAAAAAGGCAGCCTACCGTGGCGGCAGGGCTGCAGGCAGCACTTGGGGGCAGCGCGCAGCGGGAACACAGCCGCCCAGGGCTGCAGACCCGCCGCTACCCCGCCCGCAGGGGCGGCTG